TTATCAGATGTATGATTTGCAAGTATTTTCTCCCATTCTGTGTAATGTCTTTTCATTCTTTTGACAGTGTCCTTTGATGCAAAAAAGTTTAATTTTGATGAAGTTGTTTACCTATTTTTTTTCTATTATTGCTTGTACGTTTGGTGTCCTGTCTAAGAATCCACTGCCACATCCAAGACCGTGAAGCTTTTTCTCTACGTTTTCTTCGAAGAATTTTATAGTTTTAGCTCTCAGGTTTAGATCTTTGATCGATTTTGAGTTGATTTTTGTATACAGTGTAAGGGAAGGGTGTTGCATATGGATATCCAGTTTCCCCAGCACCATTTGTTAAACAGACTATCAGCATGCTGCCTTTTTAAAAAAATTAAGTACATTTTTTAATTGTGCTAAATATATAGGTAACAAAACATTTGCTATTTCAACTATCTCCACATGTACAGTTCAGTGACATTAAATGCGTTCATCATTTTGTTTAACCATCACCATTAACCATTCTGGAATTTTTTCATCACCATTAACAGAAGCTCAGTGTCCCCTCTTGTGTTGTGTCTTCCTTCCCCCCACCTTCTGTCACCCCTGATAACCACTAATAAACTTTGATTTCTACATACCTCCCTATCCTAGATATTTCATATAAGTGGGATCACTTGCCCTTTTGTGACTGACATTTCACTCAAGCATGCTGCCTTTTAATCTGGTCATGTTCTAAGGCCACCTACCTCAACACGATGTTACTCTTTGTTCCTGGAAATTCTTGCCCAGAAAGATAAAGCTGTGGCCCAGTAAATAACTTCAGGAACTTCCCAGAAATCAGTTAACCCACCGCGCGAGTTGATTCAGACTCATGGAAACCATGTAGGACAGAGTAGAACTGCCCCATAGGGTTTCCAAGACTGTAAATCTTTAGGAGAGCAGACTGCTACATCTTTCTTCCACCCTGGTTGGTGGGTTTCAACCGCTGACTTTTGAGTTAGCAGCTGAGCGCTTTAACTACTGCGTCACCAGGGCTCCTTGGAAATCAGTTGGCTCTCACTTACCCAGCAATGCTGTGAGCCCTGTGTCCGCTAATCCCACCAACGTCAGTTTTAAGAACTTTGTCCAAATCCCCGCACTGAAAGGCCATCCTTAAACCATTCATTTGAACTCCACCCCCAAACCCTGCAAACATCTGGGAGGGTTCCAGGAGCCGCTGCCCTATAGGCTCTCCGGTGGGCTGTCAGGGTGCGT